CTCCGTCATCCATGTCTTCCTCTCATCTTCATCCACTGTCCGCGTAACCTCTCAGGGAGCTCCAGGCTTATCCTTTACGTATCCTCTACCTCTATTAGACACCTCTAACCGTTTACACCAAATTCATATTCCCAATGGTTGGTCTAATCCTCCCATGAGTCTGCAAGCTGCAACACCATTCTTGACAAACAGGCGGAGACTGAATCCCTGCGAAGAGGGTCTCTCTCTTGGTCGTTTTAAACTATTTGTTTAGTTGAGGAAGTTTTTCTCCTCTTATTGTCGTAGCACCAGGGGATCCACGGAGCCCATCAGTGAAAGAAGCTGGACAAATTGGCAGACCGCCTCTGCGTCCCGTTAATCGACCTGATCTTACAAAACTGAACCTAGCATTGTCCTGGCGCGCGCTTCGTATTACGCCTCCCCGAGGGACTCGTTCAACTGACCTAATGCAAGCCTTTAAAATGGAATTAAATGGAAAATAGGCCCAGACTTTTCCAGAAGTTACCTAAAACAAAAGTGAAATAAACTCCTTCGTTTATTCTCCTCACCCTCAAAGTTTGATACAACGTGGTGCGCATGCACAGCATTCGCATGCAGGAACGATTACGATTAAGAGTACGTAAGTCTCTCACCGATTCGGCGAGAAGACAGTATATTCTCATCTTTTTCAGCCTTGCCAATGACAGATGCGACATCTAATACATCCGAATCTCATATCTTCGGACGGAGGCGGAACTATCAACCGTGCTACAAGCCGGACAAACATACAGATCGATTGGTCTACCGACGAGGTCGAGCCAAAATCAGGACAACCCGAAGGCCGAGGCCTCTACGTCCCGGAAAATTGGATTGGATGGGATTGAATTGAACTGAACTCAACTGATTGGGCCTTAGACCTGGCGTACGCTTCGAACTTTGGAGTGGGACGTTTTGCCGCAAAAATTAGGTCGAAAATAAGTTGAGGCAAAGCTCGAGAGTCCACTTTCCTGTTGGAGAATTAGTGGCAGGGCAATTTATACCGCACCTTCAGCGCTGGAAATCGGAAATCTGAATCTGGAATTCCCGTCCAAGTGAGCGACTAGGCTACAACATTTACTGCCGAGACTACTGCCCAGAGTTACTTATCCTTGATTTTTATCGCTTTTGTGCACGGTTTTCATCTGTGCACATACCTTTTTTACCGGACTTAGTCTTGAAGCGTATCTAGACAAGTGTCATGGTAGCTCAGAGAAATCTTCCTAAAGGGGCTATACGGGCCAAACAGGTTATTGCACCCTACTCATGTGTCAGAAAACGGTGTTCTCTCGAGGTTGTTGAGGGCATACGTTGTGATCTGTGCCAGGATTGGTTTCACCCACGGTGCACAAGCTACTCCGTGTAACTCGACCCCCAGTAGGCAAGTGAACAGTAGTAACCCCACGCTAGAGACTACGATGCTTGGAGAGGGAAATCAGTCTAGAGTAGTTAATGACGGAGATTGGATTTTAGTGAGAAACCCTGAGCGTGGTGAAAACACAACCATGTAAGTGGCACCTTTAGGCCGAGGGGTAAAGTCTAACCCTAAGGCACAAATTGCCAATTCAGCAACAGCAGGGTTTAGCGTGCAGGCAGCCGACAACAGGCACGGAACCAACAAAGCTACCCAGTGTAACTCGCCACCAGAAAATAGGGGCACTTGATGTGCACATAGACGCTAACGGGGAGGCCATTGCGAAGCCACCAGAACTCTCCACCAGCTTGAGGGACTCCCTGCAAACGCCTAATGCCGACAACAACACAGAACTAGGGTCACACCTTCGAAGTACTTGTCATAAATTGTGTATCAATCAAATTAAAGGACATTCAGTCACAAAAATTAAATAGAGAGAACATATGGTAAGGACGTGGAAGCACGTGTTCATACAGGTGGGGTGAATGTCACTGGGGCACAATTGGTGAAAGGGGCAGCTAAGTCAATATAGTAAACGGCGGATCTCCGCAACTTCATCAAGTAACGGTCTGGTGATCATCTCCATCCAATAAACACACTCGTAGAATATCGTGCACCTGTTCACCAGCAGATGTTTTCAATTTCACTGTTGTTACTA